GGAAATGCGCACACCCGTGTCTCTGGGCTAAAACAGTGCTAACAAGAGGCAGCAGGGCTCCTGCTTTACAGATGAGCTCATGGAGCGTCAAAGAGGCAGGTCCCACTCACAGGACCCGTGCGCATGGTGGCCCTGGGAACCGGGCCCCGCGCTGCCTGTTCATTCTTCCTCTGGGAGGGGGGCACCCCAACAGGAACCCAATCTCGGCCCCGGTCCTCTTTGAAAGGACAAGAGAAGGTCTAACCTTAAAATAACTGCGTGGGGGGAAAAGGCCACCCAAGTACACCTCCTATAATGCTTCTTTTGAAATGACTTTAAAATATCATTTTTTAGAAACATCTTCGAGTTGTGCTTTTGCAAGCTACACCCCACTCTGGTCCCCGCTGTTTGTCGACTTGGAGACCTCTCAACCCACTGGCCCCCCTACTCCATCCACCCCAAAGAAAACTGCCCCCTTCAGAGGCGGCCAGCATGGCAGAGCCCCACTCACTCATGTGGTTCACGGGAGAGTCTTTCTTGGGCTTCGTGGGTTTGATCACCCTTGGTGAGACCCAGACGTGCTTCTCATCAGGAATGGGGGCCACTTCCACCTCATTCATGTCGTCCGTTTCAGGTTTCTGGCCATAAGTCTCTTAATAGTGAAGGGGGGAGAGAAAAGCAACATGCTGGGATCCAAATGAAATGCACTTGGGAAGAAGTAAAAAAGCCATCTGGAGACGAAACTAGTTTGAGGTTTGCTTTCACAAAGGGTCATTTCAGCAGCAAAGAGAAAGTTCCGCTTCAGGGCCAACTGGCCGGGCGGGATTCTCCCCACCAAGAGCAATGGATGGCTCTCTGCTCACTGTGCTTTTGGAACCCAAGAGCAGCTGGGCTGACCGGAGGTTAGAAGGCCCCGGCACCCACCCCTGAATGGTCTGAATGATTTCTTGTCCCATCTCTGCCTACTCACCACTGCCTACCCAAGGAAGCAGCTTCAGGAAGCCACCTCATCCTCTGACCCCAAACCACAGCTGTCTCCCCGAGGTCCCTCTGCGCTGGATTCTCACTGAGGGAGGGGTCTTCCTAGATATGTGCCATCGGGGTGCAAGAATACCCATGTCGATGGTCTTGGACCCACTGCCCTTTACCACCTGCACGTTCTGCTCCCTTCCCCACCCCCAAAGGTCAAGATCACTTAACCTTTCTCTGCACTGCAGTTCTGAAACCCAGTAACACTGGAACCATCACCTAGAAAGAGCCAAAGATCCAACTCGTGGTTAAAAAAACTTAGTTCACTGGCTCCCAATCTTTTCCCCACTCAAATATGGTTATTTCTCCAAACATGACTGCAACCTTCATGTTTCAAAACATTCTAATTCACCAAACAAATTGCATTTATTAAGCATCAGTTCTTATCATGAAAGTCACTATGATCTGTAATCAGGCCACTTGGATACCAAGCCTTACACTCCAGCCAAAGCAAAGCAAAGTATTGCTTGCGCACCCTTATCAAACATGAACTGGTGCACATCTGTTGTGGGACCCGCCAAGGATGTCGTGGACCAGAGCTGGAAACCCCTGCCTTCTAAGCTTCTCCAGTGAGAAAAGACAACAGATGTGCTTTGATAAGGAGTTCAAGGAGCAGGAATGGATGGGGCCCTCACAGGCCTCTTGTGTCAATGGATTAAGACTCAAGTTCCATCAAATGTCCACCAATTCCGAGCCTTATCTCCATTTCTCCTTAAGGGTGACAACATCTCTTCTCTGAAGGGCAGACCAACCGTTTTGTGTTGACACAAGCCATTCAATTGAAGGGTGACTTCAAGATCTCTTCAAGAGATCTCTGGATGCCTTTTGATAGGATACACTGCAGCCATTTCACTGGCTGACTCATCACTGTACAACCACCGCTCCAGGGGAACCCAAGAGGAGGACGGACGGGATCTAAGCCAGAGGAGACGTTAATCCTGAGTCCCAAGATCATTACCAGAGCTCGTGGACCTTCATGTCCGGCTCCTGGACGACACGCTCTCCACCACCTCCCTCCCCCACCAGTTGAAGACTCCCTGGGGCAGCAGCCAGCCTGCTTCACACCCCACTCTACAACGAGCTCCAGCACACAGCAGTTGCTCAACAAAATTGGCTGCACGAAGGACCGTCAACCCTCCCCCCACCCCCCACAATGAATTCTGTCTTTGAACTCTTTGGAGGGAAAAAAAATAGTCCCAGCAAAGTTTAAAGATATTCAGGAAGGGGAATGCGGAAAACATTATCTGTAGCTAAACTCTATAGGCAAAATCTTTATGAAGACGCTGGGTTTGCAAACAGCACTTGGAACCCAGCAGCGGTCTCTGGTCTGTCTTCCCATCAAAGTGGCTATTCAGGCTTGCTCTTCACTGAAAGCCAGAGCTGTCTCTGGAATAAGCTGGGTTTTCTTCCACTGGCCTTTAGGATTTTTATACCTCATAATCGCGGCTTTATTTAGCCGAATATAGTTGGGTAGAGCAGCCTAAAGCATTTGAGGGCTCACTATTTAAGAAAATGGGCAGACAGTCCTCACCCTCAGACACACACATGAAAAGTGGAATGCTTACCCAGAGGACGGGCTGTATTTGAGCACATCCTAATTAAGATCCCCTGAGTGGACCAGCACAGGCCTGGGGAAATTCCGTGCCCGAGTTCACGCCAAGGTTACCCTGTGCTCCGTCCAGCTCTGGACCGGGGGTCCCGGGGTACCGAGCATTTCTACGTCATTCTGCAGACTCCACCTGGTTCTATAAGTGCGGATAAAGCTCATAGCTAACGTCAAGCTCTGGTGTCATCCTGTCATTGCCCTGGGAGGCGTGAACAGCCCCATTTCACAGATGGGAAAACTGAGCCTTGGAGAGGCTATGTGACCTGCCCAAGCTCACACAGCTGAGAGTCAGACTCCTTTCCCTGAATCCCACACCCTTCATCGCCACACAGGGACAGGCTGGAGGGGTGGGAACGCCTCTTACGGTCTATCCTTATCCCCGCTCCATCTCCATTAAGAGGTCAAGGCTTTGCCAGGCACCTCAATAAACGCTTATTAAGTAGCTTATGCAGATAAGCTGCTTTAGAGGAGACTTTCTGCATGGTTAGCTAAGGAAATCAGGATGCCCGCCAAATGGAGTTGGGTATTTTCCACCAAAAATAAAGAAGCAAGTCCAGGAGGCTTCTTTGGGGGGTTAACCAGCATCTAGGCTGTCTTTGTGTACATTTGTTCTCTGACAAGGACCCTCTGTGGACTTTGGGGGTATATTTATTCAGACAACATGCATAACACACCTGCTAGGTGCCCCTGGAGGCCCTGGAATGAACCAGCAGCTGTAACTACAGGTGATTCAAGTTCATGGAGAGTCTGGGTGCAGCAAGGGTGTGGAGGCAAGTGAGCGGCCTGGCTGTGAAATCAGGGAAGTCTTCCTAGAGGAGGTGTGACACCACAGTTGTGTTTTCCGAGAAAAGAAGGCATGTGCCAGGATCCTGAGATGGATGGGGCCCCCAGACTGCTAGAGGGCCCCCAGTAACCCCTAAGGTAAAGAACTCCATGCCAGGTGATGAGTGAGGTCATACCTCCCCACCTCTACTTCTCCAAGAAAGTAATGGGCTGGGTCTATAAAGTGCTGACTATGTGCAGGCTGCTGTCCTAGTAACTCATACCTTCCTCACCACATCCTCCCAGCAAACCATCTACAGGAGATGATGGCATCACTCTTACAGATGGGGGAAACTGAGGCTCAGAGAAGGCAAGCAGTTTGCCTGGCATACCCGGCCTGGAGTGCAGACACGCCCCCTCTGCCCACCCTGCATGCCAACGGCCTGCCTCGCGCACACATGGAGCCCCCCAGCAGGAGACCTGAGGGGGCGCCCCCAGAGGTCTGCCCTCCCTCACGGTCCCCAAACCAGCCCTCAGGATCTGAGAGGGGACTTGTCCCTCTGGGCGACCAGATAGCAGCCACAGGACCCGCCTGAAAGGGGACTTGGAGCCTGACATGCCTTGAGTGTCGGCCTGCCTTCTCAGCCCTCCCATTGCCCCCGGGAGCCGACATGTCACCCCATTTTCACACAGGAAGACTGAGGCTCAGATTGATGAAGTGACCCGCCAGGGTCCCCCTGCTGGAACATGCAGGGTTGATAGTCCTCAAGCAGGTGTACTAGACTCTAAAACCCAGCTTGTCCCAGGAATCCAGGTATCGGAGTGGGACTGTGTGGGAATATTTCACTAAGGATGGGCGTGGGGACCCCGTCTCGAAGACAGTGAAGAGGGGGAGCAGAAACTCCACCTAACCAATGCTCGTGGTGCCCTACCGCGTGGCGGGCACTGCCAGGACCTGCACACCGTGCCATGACATGTGCAGTTCCCTGCCGGACATGCCCTTCCCTTCTCTCATTACCAGGCTGTCTTCTTCAACAGCTGCCTGCTCGGGAGGCCCTCCCTGGCCCGGCTCATGGTGGAGGCTCCTGCTACAGCCCCGGGGCACCTGTATCATGCCCTGAGAGGGGCGATGGCCCCGCTGGACACCAGGTTCCCCAGGGCAGGGCCAGGACTGGTCCCCATAGTCACCCCACCTCATCACCTAGCAACATCCTGGCACACAGCAGGCACTCAGGATGTTCACACCAAATGCACTGACTCTCTCATCTGAGCCTGAGATGTGTCACGGACGGAGTCACCAGGCCCATTTTGCTGCTAGGCAGAAAGACTGAGGGGTTTGAGCAAAGAGCCTCAGATCCCCAAGATCCAGAGCCAGAAGTCTCATGTCTAGACTCTGGGTTGAGCCCCGCTTCCCCTGGAGACTCAGCTACCTGCACATAAGTCACAACCCAGGGGACCACATGGACCAGGCCACCCTGACCAAACCATCAGACCTTTGCTTCTCCCCCCAGAGGACACCCCCACCCTGCCCCACTGCAGTGGGCAGAATCAGCAGGGAATAACCAGCCCGAGGGCTGGAACTCCACTCTTCACCCGGGAGCCCACTGGGCTGACCCCACGAGCCCCCGGCAGGGAAGGGCCGCTGCCTCCTGCCCATGCCAACCCTCCTGAAAGGCCCCTCTCAGCCGTCACAGGACCTGTTGACGCAGCCACGTGAAAAAACACACCTCAACCGCAGACACACGTTCAGCACCTCAGCCGGGACGGAGTTGGAGGAAATAGTCCAAAATGTGAGCACTTCAGGCATGAAAACTGTGCATTATTTACAGGAGCAGGGTAAATGGAAACAACTGAGTGGCCAGCAATAAACAAATGCTGGCGTCGCTGGAAAATACACGGCCTGAAAGCTCTGGCTGGGCCTGAGTTGAGCAGGGAGGGGAACATAGATGTTTATGACGAGTAAGGGCTGGGTGAGCCACACATGTGGGTGGGTGGGGGGCTGATGGGGACGAGGACGAGCAGGAGGGGCTCCAACAGCCCACCCGGCCCACAGCTGGCCTGGACCATCCATCACGCAGCTGCTTTAAATTCCTCGTTTGTCGTCTGTCTTGTACCAAAGTCTGAACACCAAGAGGGCAGGATGCCTCTGGTCAGTGCCGCCCACGGGAGATGCCCACTGGGGGATGTCCCAGGGGCAGCTGGGTCCCTGGGGAGCTGGGGCTGAACCCTGAGTCTGGAGATAGAGAGGGGAGGAGCGGAGCGTGGGCCGGAGTCTGGAGATGAAGGAGGGGAGCAGAGGGCAAGGGTGGAAGGGACCAATTTCTCCCCCAGCTGTCCAACGTCCCCGTTTCATGCTGGCAGCTCTGTGACTCAGGGACAGGAGTGGAAGCCCGCTCCCAAGGGCTCTGAAGTGGATTCCTACCTCGGTAACAGAGGTTGTTCTTGCAGCCGCCGCCATACTTGGGGGGGCACTCGGAGCAAGGCCGGCCGGTTCTGTAGGGGGCTTCTCCGATCCAGTTGCCCCTGAGGACAGACCAGAAACACCATCACGGGGCTGCCATGCCAGGGCCTGGGGGCCCCTCTCTCTGTTCTAGACCCTCTTGGGGCCCCAACACAGTCAGGGAGGACGGAAGGTATGAGGGGGACAGGCACTTACCCTGAGCCCCTCTGCACAGCGTCTAGAGAAGTACAGAATAATCTAGCCAGGAGCCATGAAGCATCCTTCTCCTTCTCATCCTTTGTCCTGTGGCCCCCACCTACCCACACTGCTCCCTCGCACAACGCTGAACGCCAGCGGCACCGCCCCCTCCCCCAGCCCCAACACCAACGCAGGGAAGCTGCTGGGACCTTCCCTTTTAAGCCATTTCTCAAATAAGTGATGGGCAGCCTGCCCCAGGGAAGCCAGTAACCTCGAGGCCCTCTCACTGAACACCCACCCGCTCATTCTATCCTTCCAGCACCCTAGGAGGGACATGCTAGAGTTCAATCCTTTATCAGGCGAGGAAACAGGCTCAGAAATGTTAAGTGACTTGCCCAACGTCACACAGCAAATGAGTGTGAGGGCTGGGATTTGACCTCAGCCTGTAGGGTTCAAAGCTTTGACCATACTCTGCTCGTGGGGCTGAGACCCTCTGGGCATCACAGGCACCGATCCGCCTCCCTCTAAGCTTCCGGGGCAGGAAAACCAGAGGCCGCTCGGGGGGATTAGCAGGTGGTAAGCAGGACTCCCAGGCCCTTCTGGCGGTGCCTTTGGCAGCACAGGCTGGAGCAGTGAGTGACTGGGGGCCGGTTTCTAAGACCTGTTCTAGGAACTTCCTTCACGGTTGCCCCAGTCAACTAGCTGTCCTCTCAGGAAACAGACGCAGGGCCCCACTCTCGGGCCAAGGGCGGCCGAGCCATGAGGAGCAGGCTCTGGCGCTGGACCCGGCCCTTCCAACCAGAACCTCTGCCCTCTCTGTACGGGGTAACCTCGGGGACTGGTCGTGAGATGAAGGAGGTGGCTGTGTGGACGGCTCACATCAAGACTGGCCTCTGGTGATGGCAACATACTCTCTGAGCGCTTGCTAAATCAGCAACCTCATGGGGTGACGGTCTGATGGCTGTCCAGGGTGGCCAGGGAGGGAGGCGTCCCGTTAGTGCTGACCAAGGGACAAACTGCAGAAAACACACTGTTTGCTCCTGGTCAGCCCAAAATAGTGGAATGGAACCACCCAGGGCCACGTGGGTGTCAGGCCAGGGGTGGTGGGCAGGGGCTGTCACAGTTTGCACCCAGAGAGGGCAAAATGACACCCCCCAGCAGGCTGCAGACACTGCTTTGTTCAGCATCTGCCTCACATGCAGGCTGGCCAGGACTCATGGAGGGCTTTGGGATGACCCCACAAACGGACCATCACCGGGGGACCCTGGGTGGGGCTCAGTAGGTTCTTCAGACCATTTGGGCCCCTAGATGGGCTCTTCCCCTCCCCCAGATGAGTCTGCCAGCATGTGTAGGCTCCACGTTCCCTCAGTGACAAACCCTGCCTCCCACAGGACTGGCACAGTAACTCTCAGAGGTGGTGGCTGTGGACGGGGGCTGGGTGCCAGGCTCCTGGGAACCTGTCTTCCAGCCTGGGTGCTATGTTATATACACGGTGCATGGGCTGAACGTATGTGCACACCCCCCATAGCCATAACCCCCAGGGTAGCTGCATTTGGAGATGGGGCCTCAGAGGAGGTGACCCCTGAGACGGTGGGGACCCTGATCCAATAGGATTAGTGTTCTTATAGGAAGAGACATAGAGAGCTCAACTTCCTCTCCATCTCTCTCCTCCACCCCCTGCACACAGTGAGGAAACATCATGTGGAGACACGGGGAGAAGGTGGCCATCTATGAGCTGGGAAGAGAATCCTCACCAGAAACCAGCCCTGCTGGACCCTGATCTGGACCTCTGGCCTCCAGGGCTGTGAGAGAGAACTCTGCGGCTGAAGCCACTTTGTTACAGCAGTGTGTGCTGACTAATACATACTTATACATGTGAATATTTACTAGCTGTACTCCCAGGATTAGTGTGTTTTCCTATATGTACAATATTAATTTTTTAAAGAAAGGGATAGGAGGTAAATAAGGGGGAAGTGGTATTTCTAGTAGGATCTTCTAGTGTTTTTTTTTTTAATACACAGTCAAATTGAATTATTCCTCACTCCACACCTGCCACTCTTCCAGTAGTTCTGACTAGCTTACGGCTCTTCGGTGGGGCTTGGTCCCTCCCATCGATGACACAACCCCTAACCTCATCCCTGTGGCTGCGGAGGCATTGCTACCACTAGCGTGCCGGATGGTTTACAGAGAGTTTCTATTTTCCTCCCAACCTCAGCGATTCTCTCTTCATCCCACCTTCGCACAGCCACTCCTGACCCAACCCAGTAAGTGAGGTCATTCCTGCTTCATGCAGTCACTGAGAAAATATGCAAGGGCCACTGCATGCAGGGCCCAGTGCTAGGATGGCGGCCAGCCCCGTGGCCAGTGCGCAAACCACAGGCTGTGAACTGGGTGAGCTGTTCTCCGAGAATCAGCACATAGTTGTCTCGTGAGCAACAGAGGTGAGCGGGTAAAGAGGTAAGTGACATACTGATGACATCAGGATGCTGTAAAGATGAAGAGGGTCTGTGACCCAAAGGTTTGATGAGGTCCCTTCTGGGAGGGGAAACAACGATGCAAGACACCTATTTACTAGAGTGCTCTTTGCTACATATTTTCAGAGAAAAAGAATCTTTATGGTGGACTCCACTAGTTGCCCAGCCAGCAGCTATTCCTGCTTCTGATCTATTCAAGCAGTCCCAGAGGACAATTTGCCGAACTAACTGGGACAAGTTCATTGGCCAAAGTCAACTGGGGCAGTCTTGTTCCCCCCGTCCATGAGTAGTCTGGTTCTGGCCAATGACGTAAGGAGAAAGTGGGCCAGGGGAGAGAAAAGCAGAAGGAGAGAACTCTTTTCTACCATTCTCTTCCCTTCGGTTTGGGAAGACTTGGTGCCTGATGTTTTGCAGCCTTCTTATGACCATGAGGAGAGGACAGTACTGCAAGAAGACAGAAAGTTCTCATTGACACTGCTGAGCTACTAAGCTAACCTAGACGCACAAAATCTCTGAATGCCTTGTTATGTGAAGTAATGAAGAGATTTTACCACTTAAGCCAGTTCTAGTTAGGTCTTCCATGGCAAGCAAACACACCCCGACCCATAAAACCATGTCACTTGTTCTTACTTTGGAGAATAATTGCAAACGAGGTAGACTGCATTCTCCCAAACATCTCCCCAGACATTGATCCTCTGGCAGGTGTTCACGGCACAGCCGATCTTGTTGGTTGTGGCCCAAACTATCTGAAAAGATGACATCCATACATCAAAGTTCAAGGGGAAAATGACCAGGGCGACATAATCTGGCCTGAATCCACAAGGTGCCCCCAGTAAATGGGCGTGTGGTAAAGGGGTGAAGGCCCAAATTCTTCCTCTGGCCCATGAAAGAGCCAGACATTTGTTTAAATCAAATATGGAAAAGTGAACAAAACAAGACAAATAAGGAAAATGCCCCAGCAATGTAAAACTGCTATAGACATTTCTAGTGCTTATTCTCAATTTCCATATTTGTGAACCAGTCACAAATAGCTCAACCCACCAGTTATACTTTGAATAGGACTGAATTAAAGGAAGAAAATTAAGGCAATGATAGAAGAGAGGTTCTCTGATTGGGGGAGAGCCCCACAGTTCTGGGGGTGCCAGGCTGAGGCCACGCCCGATCTTCCAGCCTTACCTGCGTGTAGTGGGTGCACATGGGCCCGGAGCACCTCTCTGGACACCAAGGGTTGCACTCGTGGGGGTAGGGGTAGGTGTAGTCCTTCACCTCATCGTACCAGGACTGCACGTGGAAGCCAGGGGAGCGATACCTGCAGGGACAGATGGGCTTGTTAAGTTCCGGCCACCACATGCACACAACAGAGACCCCTCTGGCAGCACCACCACTCAAGGTGGAGTTGGAGGCGGGGCGCGCCTTCAGGCCAACAGCACCACATCCCACCTGCACCTGTTAGAAATGCTAAAAACCTGAACTGGCCTCCTTCAGAGTCCAGGAGTATGCCTGGGTGACCCACACACCACCTGTGTGTATGAGAAACTTGTATCTGGCCCCAGTGAATCCTATTTTATACTAATAATTATGTATTTTTTTCATTTACATTTGGGGAAATATATGCAGCCCCTGAATCCCGTATTTCACAGATATTACTGCATAAGAAAAAACCGAAGAGGGGCAAACCTTGCCCCAAGCTCCCATTTGGGATCCTATCACCTGAGCCCTCCCTCGCCCCCAGCACTTAGAAGACCCTCCCCACCTCTTGTTGTGACTGGCCCTCTCTTCAGCTCCATCTGCCAGGCTGGCATCGGGAAAGAAAATAAACCAGATGCAAGCCCCGGTCGCTGTCACCAGCAAGTGTAGACAAAATGGTTTCAACAAGCAGAACAGATGTGGGGGGGACTGGGCACTTCTGAGGGCACCATGGGGAGCAGGGCAGTCAGTGGTCTTGTAATAATTACCGTCAGGACTCCGGCAATGGTGGTGGTCAGTGCCCTGGCCAGGGAAAGCACCTCTCTGCTTGGGGCCAGCTCAGAGAAGGACACACAGACAGCGACAGAGCTCCAGGGCCGCAGGGTACCCACCACCCTGTCTGTCCATGTCCCACAAGACTTGTTGCCAGGCTGGACTGGTTTTAGAAAGAAAACATTCAGCTGCTGAGGGGCTTTCAGATGAGGGGCTCCTCTGGAAAGTGAGTCAGCAATATTGATCCAGAAAGGGGACAGCCTTTGTGCTATGGACCTATCAATCCTACTCAGAGTTTTCCTAACGAAAGCATTCAAATGAGCCAAGAGGGAAAAAGAAGAAAACAAAACCCAGCTACGAGAATAGAATGGCTGAATTCTGGTCTGTCAACCTGATGGCTCACAGGCAGCCTTTCAGATGTGATAACCATGACAAGTATGTACTAGAAAACTGTTTGATGTTGTATGAGAAGGAAAAAAAAATCAATAGCTGTCCTGGCCACAGTTACAACTATGGGAAAATATGTCGGCCAGATGCAGCCCAGGAGCCCAGAAACACAGAAAGACCTGACCAGGTCAGCGGGTCCATGGGTTGGGTTCCTCATAGACATTTTCTGGTGATGCTGTCATAAGACTGACTGGATAAAAAGCAGAAAACAACACCAGGTTGCTATGCCTCCACGAAGCCAAGCCTCTAGCCCCGTGATGACCCCTTGCCCAGGTCCTGCCCAGAACAACCCTGGCTAAAGGAGCATGCAGGGGCTTGGGGTCCCATTAAGATCCGAGCTCAGGAACTGGATATGGTGGGTCTGAAGGCCAGCAGACCCTGCCCTGTGTTTTCAGGGGCTCTGTCCAATCCACATCAATTTTTCAATGAAAGGGGCAAAATGGAAGCAGACCCTGGAACCCTAGCGACTCCTGGGCCCCTACTCGGAGAACTCGTGTGCTAGCACATGGGCAGCGAGTCTTAATCTGTCAGAAGACATCTTCCCCACTTCCTCTAAGGAAACCCGCCCAGTTGACCTAGGTGAAGGTCGGTGGGTGACATTTAACAGGTGCTCAGAGGTCCGGCAGTGTGAGTGAGACCCCAGGTCACAAGTAGGGGGCCATGGCGTCTCTCACCTGCCCCAGTGCACGGCCAGGTTCTGCCCGATGGACACCAGCAGGCCGGTGGGCCCATGCTCCCAGATGCACTCCTGGGCCCAGGCCGCCGCCGACTTCTCCAGCTCTTCATCCCAGGTCTGCAGGGGACGAGAAATGGGCACCAGAGGTAGGTTCAGGGGTGGGTGGAAGAACTCAGCTGCACTGATGCCCCCAGCTCGGGCCCCGGACGACCCTAAGTGCCAGGTTCAGCTTCTGCAACACTGGACTCAAGGACTCTGAGAGCATTTCGATGGTCTCTGGTCAGCAAAGAACCTAGAGGAGCCTGGATGTTCAGAGCTCCTGCTCATCCCCTAACTTGTCAGGGACCCTGGCAAGTCCCTCCTCTCAGCCTCAGTCTCCTCATCTGTGAAACGGGAGGATGAATAACTTGGAGATGGATGGTGGTCATGGCTGTACAATGGTGTGAAGGTACCTAATGCCAATGAACAGTGCATTTTTAAATGGATGAAATGGTAAGTTTTATTATGTATATTTTACCATTTTATGTATATACATATATATTTCTTTATACACACACATGCTAAATCGCTTTAGTCATGGCCAACTCTTTGTGACCCTATGGACTGTAGCCCGCCAGGCTCCTCTGTCCATGGGGATTATCCAGGCAAGGATAACGGAGTGGGTTGTCACGTCCTACTCCAGGAGATCTTCCTGACCCAGGGATCAAACTCATGTCTCTTATATTTTCTGCATTGGCAGGCAGGTTCTTTACCACCAGTGCCACCTGGGAAGCCTATATATAACCATACACACACACACACACACACACACACAGATTTTTTTTTCTAAGTAGCAAGAAATGCCTTCAACTCACCCAGTCCTGCTCCCCTCCGGCAAAGCCCACCCTGAGTCAGGGTCTGGGACAAAGAATCCGTCACCTGCTCCCCTCCCAACCAGCCCAGGGTGCACACATAACTCCCCGGAAGAGAACACGGTGAGCCAGGTGAGCAGGACTACTTTTCTCTCTCAAGAAACTGACGCCCAGTGGCCCTCAGGCTGTGAGCCAGTGGCTGCCCCGCCCCATCCAAATCTCCCGGGCAGGCAGGGGCTGTCCCCTTGCCCTGTGGAGGCCCAGCCTGGCACACAATAGGTGCTTGCTGACAGCCTATACTGGGAGGGCCCTGGGACGTTCCAGGAGACGGGTTCACCAATCGCTGGACCCGAGCACGAAGCCACCCCTTCCCCCCATCTCCGGTCCTGTGTCTCCTTCTGGCCAAGATAACGGCACCCCTCAACATCCAGGGGCAAGTCCTAAACCCAGACAGGCTGGCTCCAGAGCCTGTCCACTCATAAAACCTCAAAACAGGGTGTTTTAACTGTGGGGTTTTACAGTCCACCTCTTGGGATGAGCCTGTTTCAGAGGGCTGTGGCTCAAAGCTCCAGGACATGGATCTGAGACACCCTCTCCAGTCGGCGCCGCCTGTTGTTGGGCGGATGGACGTTGGTGGGCGAGGATGCTGGCAGGGGCGGAGGGAGCCTAAAAAGAAACCTACCCTAATTCTCTCCAGCTTTAACCCTAAAAAGCTCTGCATGGCTGCCCCACGCATTAACATTTTGAAAGGGTGCCCACTCTGCCTCCTAAAATTAGCACAGCCCCTTCAGAACAAACCCCTGGACCATGTTCTTGAGGGGGAAAAAAGAAATGGTTTCATAAGGAGTCCCCAGGGGACAGCCTTGCTCAGGCTGTATCCAGGCAGGCATCCACTCGTCCCTCAGCCGGTGATGGGCCACCTCATCCGGCACAGCAATGCCGAGGGGCCCACAGCCACATGGGCAGGTGCCCGACCGTGAGGGTGACCGAGGTCAGAGCGTGAACAACACAGGGAGTGGCAGCTGAGTCCAGAGGAAGGAGGAAGGAGAGGGGCCAGGGCCCGGGCTGCTCGGAGCTGGATACAGGAGTGACGGGGTGCAGACGTGTGGGGCGCAGGGGGGGCTGTGCACACAGCACCCTGAGGCTCCTCTGGCCACAGAGGAGGAAGCGAAACAAGCTAAGCAGACAGACCAGGGCTCCTGACAGGAGGCGTGGGTGCCAGGCGAGAAGCATGGAGGGCCCTCGAGGCTCCGGCCAGGAGAAAGGCTGGAAGAGTGAAGATTTAGGAATTACAACGTGACGCCAGGATTCAGAGGGCAAGATGGGAGGTGAGTCCCCCTCCAGGGCTGAGGCTGCCCTGCTAATCAAGGTGTGAACAACATGGGCAGGGAGGATGGAAACAGCTGGAGAAAGAGCCCCGGGTACGTAGGGGGGCAGCAGAGTGGGGGTGGAGTTCAGACAGCATGGACAGGTGAACGAGAGCATGGGTCCTGGACTCAGCCAGACCCAGGTCAGAATCCACCTCTGCCTCTGCCATCTGTGATCCCGGGCCAGTCTGTAAAGTTGGGGGGAACCATGGTGCCCACTTCATGGGGCCGAGAAAACTGGACATGGAGACACGGGAGTGAGGGTGAGGCTGGGGATGGGCACCCAGAGCTGGTCATCGCTTCTGTTCCTAAGTGCGGGGGCTTCTCTCGAGGTACAGGGGACCCTCCACCATCCCTTCTCAGCCTCCTCCTCCTGGCAGAACGCCCCACTGCTCAGACTCAGCCGCCCCTCGCTGACGGAGGGAGCACCTGAAGAGTGGGCTGGAGACCAAGCTGCACGAAGACCTCGGTACCAGCACAGCCCCAGGGCTGAGTGTCTGGCTGGGCGTGCGACAGGCATGCCAGCCAACTGTCAAGGGAACACTGAGTCAGCCCAGCGAAGGAGATGCTGAGGTCACTCGGTAAGGAGGAAGCAGAGCTGGGGTCGGACTCACCAGAGCCTAGCCCTTGACTCTCACCGCCCCCCACTCCAGGAGGGCCTGTGGGGAGAGCCGAGGGTGGGGAGCGGGGGCTGAGCTCAGAGAGGTGCAGCCAGGCACCCAGAACGCAGCCAGGGGAGCCTCTCTGGCCAGTAGCCCCTGGGTCCTGGATCCCGCCCCCCGCCCTGAGCCCCCATGCCAGGCCAAGCCCCAGGCCCGGCGCTCACCATATACTCCATGTTGGAGGCGGGCGGCGACACCTGGCCCCGCAGCTTGTTGTGAAGCATGAGGATCTCCTCCTGGTCCGCCCTGGGGATGGCCCTCCGCGCCCGGGAGTGGGGCTGGTCCCGCTGGTATTTGCTGAGCAGCTTCTCTAAGTGTGTGACGTTGGGCAGGAAAAAGCCTTGGGCTCCGCAGAGCAGAAGCACCAGCCCCAAGGGCACGACACCAGTCAGGACACAGCTCATGGCTCCACGCTGGCAGCAAGGCAGGCGGTGACGGGCGGCCTGGGCGCCTGAGGCAGAGCTGGGCGTTCTCGTGCTCTGAAAGGAAGCAGAGGGTGGCTGGAGAAGTCGGTCAGTGCCAAACCCGCCATGGCAGAGAGTGGACAGGGCACCCCTCTCTCCCCATTGTGCAGATGTGAAGACTGAGGCTCACAGAAGCAACACCAGCAAGGTCCGGCAGGCAGGAAGTGGTGGAGCTGGGATTCAAGCCAACGGCCTCCAGCACGGCAAGCGGCCCGATGCCACATGGACATCCTGGCTCGGTCTCTCCCAGACTCAGCTTCTCGTGGCGCCTCCTTTTCTCTCACTCTGAGTCAGCATCTGGACTCATTCAGGGCTCCGGTGAGTCTATGGCCTGAATTAAACTCCATCTCCTGCCCCCAAAAGAGACTGCTAAAGCCATTTCACGTCAGCAAAGGATGTGCCATGAACCAACGGGGGTAGCGAACTTCCTAGTCCCTGCGAAGTAAGACTCAGTTCCCAAACAGGCTGTCAGGCGCCCCCAGACCCATCCCCTGCACAGTCCTTCCATGGGGTGGGTAGCCATCACACCCTACGACACAGCCTCCCAGGGCCTAGCCACGTGCTCTGATAACTTGATCCTCAGAGAAAGTGACAGTGGAAAGAGACAGGGCCTCCCAGGGGTACAGGGTACCCCACTCTCACCCTGTCCCCGCCTGGCAACCCCCCAAACAGCCCAGCATGCAGCCTCCCTCGGCCAGCTTCTGTCTGACAGTGGGCCCATTACGGGTACTGCCAGATGTGACCCTCCTGGCTGCTGAGTGAGCGGTTCGCATGGGTGATTAGCACCCAACAGCCACATCAGCAGGGCCAAAGAGGGGATGAAAGATGGTGGTTGGGACTCCCGAACTTCTAGCCCCTCTTGGGGCTGTGCTTCCCAAGGAGTGTTTCTGGAACCCTAGTTCTTGACACATGCCAGGCCAGGGGCCATGGTGCATGCCTCGTGGTCACATCAGTTGGGATTCACCCCCTCTGAGATCCACGGTGCCGACACCGTTATTTTATGACCCGTCAAAGATCTTCATGATCTGTCCTTGCTTTTGGGCTCCAGGCCCTTTTCTCAAACACCGCCTCTCACTAACCTTTCTTCCTTGGCAGGCATCTTAGGAAAAGCTGTCTTAGTCTTGGAACACATTTACTAATTCTAAAATCTCCCGGCCTGAAGATAATTTATTAGGTTTGAGTTTCCGCTAGGCCTGCGCTCTTTCTCAGAGCCCTTCCTGAGCCTCTGCGGGGGCCGGTCGCCTCATCCGTGTCATCTCCAGCCCTCACGAAAGCCCAGGAGGTCGGCCTGCCCTTGCAACCACTTTACAGATGGGGAGGCCGAGGCTTAGAGAGTCGACCCCCAGGCTGCTGACTGGTAAGACTCAAGCCTAGGTGTGATGTCCCTGAGGGCCTGGGGTTTTCCAGCACACTGCCTTGGTTCCTCTCACCCTGGGGTGCCAGTGGTCACACTACAGGTCACAAAGTGTGGTCCTCCTGATGGCTTGTTGTCTGGTCCAAGAAGACAAGACAGGGCCTGTTGTTCACCCTCTCGCCTCTGTTTCACCCCCAAGGAAAGTCGATCAGTCACCCAGCGACCTTTATAGGCCCCTATTTTGTGCTGCACGGTGGGAGAGGAGGACAACAAGGCACTGTCCCTGGCCTCAAGTGGCTCTCAGTTAGGCTGGGGAGATGGGAGCCCCTGACCAGCGGGATAGGCCTGGCTGAAGACAGCACGGAGAGCTGGAGGAGGGCTCCAGAGACCCCTGGGTGGGCAAGGAGGGAGGCAGCCTGGAGGCTACCCACCCAGAACCCCAGGAGGCCCCTCTGTCATCTCCCACGTGAACAATAGCCAGGGTTTCACTGGTTGGATTGGCGTGGGGCTGCAAGATGGCAGTGGAAGGAGGGGGTCCTCTGGGGCTTGTCCTGGGCACCCGAGAAGCAGAAAGCGGAGACTGAAGCTATGGGAACGCGGCAGTTCCCATCTCCGTTCCCTGGAAACTCTCCAGGGTCCTGACTGGGCTTACGCTTCAGATAAAAGCAGCCGACATGCAGGCAGAGGCCCAGCTCTGTGGCCTCTCGGCCTCTCGGCCAAGGAGTTCTCTCTGGGGCAGAGCCGCAGGGACCGCCGGAGGGCTTCTGTGTGCTCCCTCGCCCCGTGGGAATCAAGCCAGTAACGCAGACGCTCCCAGGGTCCCTGCCGCCTCCCTGCTTAGTCACACCACCATATATGATCATTTCCCAGCTGCAGAGGCCAGGCTGAAAAGGATGCCAAAAACCGACGGTGCGTTAAGACTTGGGACAAAGCAGGAGCAAGACTGACATCACAAAACGACCACTTGGTCGTCACAGCAACATCCAATTTGCTTTACTCTTCGCTTCAGCATCCCAAGGGGCAGGGCACCCCCAAAGGCATGAAACAGGAATTGTCTACATGACTCAACTGGACCAAAAGCTGGGTTTGTTTTAAATCACCAGTGGGCACAATTCAAATAACTCTCAGTAGGGGGAGGGGTAAAAGAACTGTGGGTCAGTGTGGGTGGAATATTATAAAGCAGGTAAAATGGAAGACCTGGAGTTCTGGGATTGTCGGCAGCAACAAAGCTCTAATCCAATGTTGGGCTAAGAAAGTTGTAGAATGTTATGCTAACGGTAGTATTTATGTACATTTTAAGGCATATAAACCATATTTTGGACAAGTTTATGGATATTATAGGTGGACATGCATATATATGTATGTGTATATAACACAGACATGTATTATATGTGTTTGTACATATATCATATGGTGTGCATGCACGTGTTTGTATAGTGAAACCAGTTCATGGTGGTGGTTGACTCTAGGAGGGAAACTGAACTGGGAATGAGAATATGAGGGGACTCATCTTTAATATATTGTTTCTGTTTTAAAATCTCAAGCACATGTGGCAAAGCGTAAGCTCTGTTCATGCAAGGTGGACCAGATGAGTTAGCAGGAATTGTGCTCAGGTAACCAGGGCAGGGCATCCTTGGGGGCCGGACCTCACTGGTGAGTGTCCTCTATCCTTTGGACTTGTCTACTTCAAATTTTTAAAAAATATTAATTAATAGAACAAAGAAAAATGCCAAAGCATGAAAGGACAGTGAAACCACTGCTGGTTCCAAGTGCATCCTCCTGGCATGTGCTCCTGAACAAAGGTGACCTTATTCCAGAAGACTTGGTGAGCCGCCTTCACTCTGAATGTTCTCGCACAGTCCAGGACCCACAGATGGGGCCTTCCCTCCAAGGTTCAGGAGAGAACTGATGAAGCCTCGGGTGAAGCTTCAAAGTTGGGAGAACCACGGGGTTTAGTCAAACCTTCCCCTGGGGAGAAACACAAATGAAAAGAGGCATTTCTCCAAGTGTCTTCTCCACCTCGAGATGGTCGCTGGCACAGACATGTCGACTTGTCTTGGGTCGGGCCATTCATAACACCATGTCGGGTGACACTGCTGGGTCTGAAAGTAGTCTGGCCTGCCTGCAGCTTGGGGCAGGGGTGGGGAGGGGCAGGCTGGGGGGCTGGGGGTCCATGCTGGGGAGGGGGCAATGCTTGGATCATGATGGCTTCTAAGTCTGGGCCAGGGAGAACACAGAAGATTCAAGCAGAACTGTAGCAGTAACAGGCCTGGTGTCCCATAACTTTATTTCAGACCACGGCACAGGGCTGGCACACAGAGGGAAACACAGAATCCTGGACTGAGCTATGCCTTCTGCAAATTCCTTCATCGGAGTCCCAACCCCAGCTCCTCAGACCACGGCTGGGTTTGGATACAGGGTCTTAGAAGAGGCGATTAAGTTAAAATGAGATCATACGAGTGGGCCCTGCTCCAGTATGGCTGGTATCCTTGTAAGACGGAGGGATTAGGACACAGACACGCACAGAGGGATCAGCATGTGAGATACAGGGAGGGGACCGCCATCTACACGCCAAGGAGCAATGCCTAAAAGAAACCAGCCCTGCCGGCACCTTGATCTTGGACTTCCAGCCTCCATGAGAGGGAAAGAATGAATTTCTGGTGTTTGAACCGCTTGGTCTGGGGTGCTTGGTCCTGGCAGCCCTAGCAGACTAGTATTCATACAAGCATCAGACAATAAATGAGAACTAGGTTCTAAACATCCCGCTGGTGGCTGTATGGAAGGAGGCGAGGAGGGGACTGAGAGCAAATTGGGTGGCCAAGACTGGAATTATGACTGGAACCTGGGCGGAGGCAATTGGTGCTGTGTCTCAGCACAAGGTCATCGGCCAAGGCGACTTCGCCAGGCCCCGCCAGCCCCCTGGTCTGGACAGACTATTCAACTTCTGCTGCCCAAACAGCTCGATCAGAACTTAGGAACTTAGGAACAGAACTTTGGCCCCCTTTCCATCTATAATTTAAAAGAAACTGACTCACAGACATAGAGAGCAGACTTGTGGTCGCCAAGGGGGATCGGTGTGGGGGAGGGACGGAGCAGGAGGCTGGGGTTAGCAGAAGCGAACTCCTATGTACAGGACGCATAAGCAACAAGGTCCTACTGTAGAGTGCAGGGAACTGTACTCAATATCCTGTGATAAACAAGAATGGAAGAGAACGCGAAAAAGAATGTGTATATATATATACACACACATAAATGAGTCACTTTGCTGTACAACAGAAATAAACACAACACTGTAAACCAACTGTACTTCAATAAAATACATTTTTTTAAAAGTTTTCCAACGGAGACCCACCCACTGCCACCTGGGGCTTTCCAATGACAAGTACAGGCTCCTACCAGGGAGGCCAGTGGGGACTTAGCTGGGGTGAGACTCACCACATGCCCATGGCTGCGTTTCTCACCCCACCCTCCTGGTGATCCAGAGGCTTGGGTTCTACTGCTCCCATCTGACAGATAAGGAGACTGGGGCCCCTGAGGTCTTTGGGAGCCCACCCAAAGTCATACAACTGCAAGCAGAAGACCTGGGGCTGGAACACAACTCCATCTGGGCTCTGAGCCTCCTCAATGCCACCATTCCTTCCCCGGGGTGAGTTTCCTTGGG